CGTTTGAGCCAAAGTTTTAACGTTTTGACGTGTTAACGTTTTAGAACTCTCTGTATCTTTTTCAGTTTAAATTAATATCTAAGAGCATGTTTTGATGCTCCATAATGAATAACGTATCGTTCTTTATCATAAAGTGTTGCGAAATTTTTTCATCTTTTGATCCGGGCGATGTAACGACAACCGACGTTGCAACGGCACATTAAAATTTCACCTCGCACCGAGCGCATATCCGAAAAACTGCTGATTATCGACGAGAGCGCGGAAAACTCACGAAAGATCCGGAAAACAGCACGCGCGTGACGGCCTGTGCAAAGACGTTGCACGAACTAACTGCCCGAAAAATCGACGCGAGGATGCGCGCGCAAATCCCTTTCTTCTATTTTCTGTGGCCTGGTGCCTTGCATGATAGGGTAACCCGCTGTGATGAATCACTCGCGAGTACTGCTTCATATGACGGGAGCCTACCGTTCTCCCATCCTCCATTTACTTTTTAGCACTCCTCACCATCGGCCACCTGCTAACGGCTCTCAAGACGACTTGTGAGCTTCTCCCGTCCTTTTCATTTCCTGGGCTCACAACCTTAAGTCGAGTTCGTTGTGTCCGAAATCTGCAGCCCACTACGAGCCACCGCAGAAAGCGTTGAGCTTCCACTTCCTGTGGATCGGTTTTCCGCTAACCTACGGATCAGCTCACAATATACACAAGTACGGAATAAACAGTTCGCCGCCTAGCAGTTCTGGCACGACTCGTTCGATCTACCCAGAGTACAACCCAGGGCATAATGTTTCGGTTGATGACGCCATAAACAAAGCGGGCTTTCCTGCGCCTGGCCGGTCCGGTCTCAGTTAGAGCTAGAGCACTTCGAGATCCTATGGCCCTCTCAGTTGCAGCCGTAATACTTCCATTGAAAATACGCCCGGTCACGCCCAGTCTATACTGGCACCTGCAATGATCGGGCTACCCGTAGGTTATCACCTGCGCTGTCTTTTTGGGTCCTAGAATTCGGGTATTGCCACGGTGCTGACTGTATGGAACTGTTCGCCACACACCGTTACCAACCCCCCCCCCCTCCGAGTCGTTACCAAATGACCGTCAGGAGACGATAGTACCGGAGGCTTTCCTCTTCTTCTTCTTTTTAGCCTTAGAATTCTTCACCGTGGGCGCCTCCACTTGGACAGCCGCACTGGCTACCACGTGGCCTTTCTTGCCCTTCCCTCGATAGGCAGCGTCTTCGACCAGCATGTTGTTCTTAACAGAAGGAGGGTGCCACCTGCTCTCGTACTCATGGTGTTTCTTCAGCTTCTCACCGTAGTACTCTAGATCACGCAAAATAAACACCATTTTTTCCCAAATAAATTGGCTGTACTCTGGGTTTAAGCTCGTCTTCGCCAAACGGACCTGCTTCCTCTCTGACGGGGGAGGCCTCATTCTCCTGACGATGTTCTCGAACGTAGTCAGGTCCCTATGGACTCATCCTGCACCTGCGTCCGACGAGCCAATGCGTCATACAGCTCCTTCCTCGATAGAGCTTACCTCTGCGCTGTCCAGAAAAATCACATTCAAAGCTGACAACACCTCACGATCCGAAAGCCTATGCTTCTGGACGCAACGCTCGAGCTTCTCCAGACGCTCCGCTACCTAACCGGATGCGCCGTTGAATTTTCAATTTCACGTGCGGAATGCCGTCACAACATCCGCTCGTCTCCCGTTTAGGCAACCCCGAGAGCCATCCCGAGGAGAGCTGGCGGAGCTTGACCTCACTTGTGGAGCTCCACTCACTCGTATTACTCGAGTCCGAGGAGCTCACACGTGTCTATCGCCGTCTCCTGCTTGATCTTGGTATCCTTGACGACACCGGCAAGACATGCATTGTTGTTGGCCTGATCGGACGCTCCCCTCCGGTCGTACCCGAGGGGTTATCAGCTGCTCGAGCCGGGCCGTCAACCCAAATGCGCGTGAACGCCTGGGGTGCCGGGGTTGAGTCTTAGGCTGCTGTGGCGTGATTACAGCACGTGCTAGCGATACCAAGAGGCAGTGCAGGATTCGGTGGCGTAGGGTTCGGCAGAGCCGCTGCCTCCAATCTATCTTCTCCGCCCGCATTCGCCGCATCATCCCGCGGCGCAGTCAAAGCCGACATGGAGACCTCATGTCTCCCTTTCTCTGACTCTGACAAATTACTCACGCTACCCCCACTAATCAGGGTGCGATGAACGATGTTGGTCACGTCCGCTAGACCTGACAACAGAGGAAAGTGCTGGACCTTCTTTTGCCCAGCAGGATGGAGAAGGGACATATCGCCTCCCCTCGAGAGGTTCGAAGCCGCTCACCGAAGGAGAGCCTGCTTCAACAGCGCAGGAAGGTTCTGGTCTACCCCTGAATTACGGTTACTACCCTAAACAGGCTCCGGCAGCTGACCAGACAAAAAGTCTTCGGGGAAAAGGGGAGCATCCATCTCTGGCTGTGAAACCTTAACGAACGCATGGAAAAAATTATCTTGAAGCGCGACCAACTCTCCTTCTATACTCAGGCCCTCCAGCAGCATCACCTCCGTTAATTGTTGTAGGGGTATCCGCAGGATGCGTGACCGCAGCTGTTGGAACTCCGGCTGCCTCTTTAGGGGATGAATGTAGAGCTCCTGCTTACCTGAGGTGGATCTTTCCCGGCTTCCCGATGCAAGGACGCGATGCGTCACCCAAACCAGAAACCTAAAGAACGGAAACGGCAAACAGGGGAGGAAGATTAGGGTACTGATGGGCCCTGCTGGTAGTGCTGCCACAACCCAGCCCATCCCTTCTGTGCACCCGTCAAACCCTCCTAAACGGACTACGCACGCTTACACGGTAGGTCTGTCTTGTAATTATACCTCTGATACCGGTCCGGTATCCTCTCCTTACTGCCTAGCTTCTGCACCTGTGGAAAAACACGTACACCTACGACCGGCAACCAATGACCCCAAACAACATCAAAATCGTCAAAGACCGAACCCTGACAGGGGAGGGCCTTCCCATCTCCAGCGATGTCGACCCTTGTTGGGTACAGCAGCACCCCACTCGCGATGCACCATTTAACCTCGCCTCTACCTAAATTAAGATTAACTCCGCTCGGAATTGCTACAGTTACCCTAAGGTTGCTCAACACATAAAACCTCTAAATTCATCAATATGTACGCGCTGTACCTCGGCATTGTCGAAGGGCACTTGTACAGCTACTGCGCACCGAAAACTAGTTACTGCACAGCCAATCCACTCACTGCATAGACAATCTAGCTACTGCGCAGCTGATTCAGTTCTCGCGTAACCGCTCTACCCACTGCACAGTCGATCCAGTCACGGCGCAGCCGCCCTAGCTACTGCGCAGCCGATCGAGCCCCTACGCAACTGGTTCGGACACTGCGCATACCAAAAGGTCATTACGCAGCCGGTACGACTACTGCGCATCTATCCTGTGCACGTTGATTGGTCTTTGCACCCTAGACTGCATGTGCTTAGGCAAGCTGTTCGCGCTCAGGTCGATCACTGGATCTTAACAACGAAAATCACTCTAGGGGAGAAACCACGAACATCTACCAGCCACTACGTACGCAAACCTGAAACGCGAAAGTTCGTAATCGTAAACTCGCGATCCAAGGGCGCGCCCGAGCAACAGTCACTCCTGACCTAAAAACCATGTACGCGTCACGAAATCCCCACATGGAATGCTATGGAGAAAATCGATGACCCACTAAGGTTACTCGCGATTGACCGCACAAATTATTGAAAAAGGGGAATTCGGGAAGCTCGAACGTTCTTATGACTAAATGACACGCCGAGCAAATGCATCAAACGTACAAGGTACGATTCGAGATCACGAGTGACTTGGGTGACAATGAGTGTGACAACGACGTTATATTAAGATGAGTAAACTTAAAGGTTGAAATTTATATATGCGGCGATCCCCGCGTCGCTTACTACTACGCAACGACAATAAGTTCTCCGCGCACGCGAGACGAATCGGTGGTAGATCTGCCTACCGATTTCTCAACTAACTCAAATATATTTGTAGAACAAAAAAAACTGAAGCCGACGTGACAATAACACTCACGGCCGGCTGCGTCGCTGGCAGATCTGCCTGGCTACGAGCTTATTCGCTGGCGCCAACTGATACACAGAGAAAGAGAGAGAGAAGAAGAGAGTATTCGGCATCAACTTCGCTCACTGATCTCCGCTCTCCTGGTCGACTCATCCCCGTATGTGTGTGCGTGTGTAAATGCTCCTGTTCCGGCTATTGTTAGTGTTGTTGCTCTTGTTGTATTCGCTGTTGTTGTTGCAGCTGCTGTTGTTGTTGGTGTTGGTGTTGGTTGCTTCCTGTTTTCTCTTCTTCACCTTCCTTTTCCAAATATTCCTCTGGTATTCTTCGACAATGGCCGATCCCGCGCGCTCGCGCCCTCGCGACACCTCACCGGAAACACACACGCACCGGTGCGGACACCAAACTTAATCTCGGTTGGGCGCGACCCAGCCGACGTTGCAACGGCACACCAAAATTTCACCTCGCACTGAACGCGTATCCGAAAAACTGCTGATTATCGGCGATGGCCCGGGAAACTCATGAAGGATCCGGAAAACAGTACGCGCGTGACGGCCTGTGGAATGGATGTGGAAATGGATTAGTTTGATTGAAAGTTTTTTTATCGCTGATTTAGATTCTACATCGAAAAGAATAAATCTTTTGTTTTAAATATTTTCTTATAAGATGCTATTTTTATCCTTTAAATAAAGTTGCAATAAAGATTTTTTATATCTAAAACCGATTTGTAGTTTTTATAATGAATAGTTTTCATACGAAGTTCATTTTCAGAGAAAGAGATAAATCTTCAACTGAAAGTCTTTTAATTTTAATGATTTATATCATTAATTTGATAATTTGTGTTAAAATAATTATTAATACTATATTACTTTAATATTAATATTTTATTACTCAATTACGTTGTATGCATATAAAAATAAGAATAAAATATTTACCTGTAAAATGTTCAGTGAAGTCTTGCTCGATTTTCAATGATCGCTGATATAATTTGTTAGCTTGATCATCGGTTATGCGTTTTAATATTTTCCTGAAAGTAGAAAATTTTGATAGACAGTGTGGATATATATTTCTTTTTCAACATAAAATCGTAAGATAAATATGTTTCAAAATTTTGTATATATAAAAAATTTTTTTTTATTGCTGTCATATTTCGTTGCTATATCAATATGATAAGGTAGCGATAATCATTTATGTGGGTGCAAAGGGTCTTTCTAATAGAAATTACATTTTGTTTCCTCTGTTTTGTCCCTTTTTTTTCTTCATTAGCTTCTTTTTAAGAATGCATAGATTATATTATAACGACTACAGATTTTTTAAGTTGCTAGCATACTCGTATGTATGTGTGTATAAGTAAACAATGGAAAGTGATTTTATATGGCGTTACAGGTAGCTGCAATTATTTTTGTAAGTTACAAAAGTATATAGGCAAACCATTCAAACTCGGCTAAAAATAATTGACAATCAGTACGAGGAACATTTGGTGTTTTTTCATACTTTCTATAAGAAAGGTTGTGTCTGCAATTATTTGAAGTTAAGATTCCTAATTAACCAGCAATATAATTGTTGTTTGAGTATGTATATCTATTTCTTTTTAAGTACTGTTAATTTAATTTTCATACAGAATTATTGTTAATGTAAAAATGATACTTTTTTCAGACTGTTTCGATTTATTTGCACGTTTTTATGCTTATGCGAACGAATCGTGGACTGAAAAGACTGGTGCTGTTAAATTTGAATAGTAAGTCAACAACTTTCATTTTAGAAGATAAAAATCAAAATATTAGTCTTTATATTGTTACGTCTTACGATGCATCCTTTTTGTAACAAATGCACATTCATGAAATTCAAAGCTGCTAAACTACTCGCACGTCAGCAAAAAGCTGACGAAACGCGAGGTCAATGACACTCCGAAATAATGTCACCGAACGCAAGAATTTATATTCAGCAAAAACGAAATGTCACACCATATCGCAATACTGAGCTGAAAAGAGCTGTAAAAGATATAAAAAGGAATGAACAAAATTACTCGGGGGGCAGTTGATCAGTAGTCCGTCAGTCAGTCAATAAGTACCTGTGAGACTCAACTCCGTACACACCGGTCCGACAATTGGTGATTACTTTACTTAATAAACTCGCGACTGTTACAAAGTAATATCGTGCAAGTATTATTCAACGACCTATCCCATACAATTCAACAAGCAGTTAGAGCCTGCTGCATTTCTATCAACAATTAAAAACTACGATTATCAAAGTAGTGCAATTATCATACATACATATTTACATTTCCACATACATTTATTATAAGTGAGACATATCTAACCACTAGTCAACATATTGGAACGTATCATTCATTAGCTATTCGTAGTTGATGCACGAGACGTAACAATATCATGCTAGATACTGGTGCTGAACCATCTCTACTGAAATGGTCTATGAAATCAAACGAAGCATATTTGAATAAATTGAATATTTTAGAGTTGCGAGGTATTAAACATAACAGTATAGTAACATTAGGAAAAATAAATATTACAATAAAAGATTTAGAATTCGAATTTCATATGGTACCCGATGATTTACCTATTGAAGAAGACAGACTAATCGGCAGTGAATGTTTACGTAAATTCAATCCTGAAATAGATTATAAAAACAATATTTTAAAAATCACTGATGAAGTATTTTGTTTATCCACAAACAATACAACTGCTGATAATCAATATATAATATCGCAAGATGATAATAGTTATTCAAAATCAATAACAAACTGCAAAACTTACGCTGGAGTAGCCATAAATCAAGTAAAAATTAGTTACAATTTGGACATATTTGCGAGAAGAGTTCCCATTAATAAAGAAAGCAATGAAGAATCAAAGATAGATCTTGAGCCAGATAAAAACTATGTCAATAAAATTAGACAGAGCGGTTATGAAGACAATTGTTCAAATAAAATTGGAGTAAAATTGCGAAAATTCGAATTCTGTCAATTGCCACACAAAAAATCTGAGATTTGTAATTCCGAAATTGGACTGGAAAAAGCTAGCGAAGTTAAAATTAGTGAACCTGAAATCTGTACATCCGAAATTAGAAATTCGAATGTTGAAAATCGTAAAAAATCAGAAATTAGAAAAAAACAAAATACGTACTCAGTTTATAATTTGGCATTAGCCAACAAAGAATGCGTGAATGCACGCCCAAGTTCCGCGAAAATTAATTCATTATTTATTTAGAACAATACAATAAGTAGGGATGTGCAAAGCCATAATGAAAGTACCCTCCATAAAAATTTTGTAGATGATAAAATTCACCTCACGAAATTCTCAATGACAGAAAATAAATTGAAGTATTATAAGTCGAAAATTAGAGAAAGTAGTAGCAACAATCTCAAAAGAGTAAATTGTTATGATAATACTAACGAAACTACCTTATTGGAAAGAGTGGATAAAGGTGTTAACGTATTAAACAATACGAATTCATACACAAGTAATAAACTATATTCCGTGCGCAACTTTTTATCAGTAATTAATTCTGCAACCACCCTGCTCGAAATACTGGACGAAATCAGAGATAAAGAATACATTAAAGAATTATTAGAGGAAGTGGCACAAATAACCGAAAAATATAAAACTATCAGCCACCTTCAAAGGTCCAATAAACAACGAATGTTTTTAGAACTTTTGGTCGCCGTAAAGTTTTTATTGAAGGGGAAGACACGAATGCCTTCTACTATCAACGAACACGTACGAATAGCCAAAATAAGTATGAATCGGAATATGGAAGATAGGGCATCAAGAATAATCGGCATGTCACAACTTGATCATTTGAATTAAAATGAAAAGAAACATATAGTTAATATAATAAATAAATTCAACGACAGATATCACTTACTTGGAGATAAATTCGGATATACTAATATACTCCAAGTTAAGAAAAGAAATTGATGCTCAACTTTTAAATATGCTCGACCAACGTATAATTGAAAGGTCTTTTAGTCCTTACTCGTCTCCAATATTTTGCCTAGACAAGAGAAGGAATGCTGAAGGCGTAATCAACACAAGACCAGTAATAAACTTCCACACTGATTCCAGATTACAATTGTCCAGTGCCAAATGTAGACGATAAGTTAGATGTGTTAGCAGGATCCATAATATACTCGGTTTTTAACCTTTATTCAGGATATCATCAATGCCTAGTTAAAAAAGAGGACAGTATTTCAATGCGACCAAGGCCTTATCCAGTTTTCAAGGTCGCCTTTCGGATTGAAAACAAGCGCGCCGGTCTATCTATCATTAATCCACCTTTCAACGACAGAAATGAACGGAGTAGTAACCTTCTTCGATGATATTTGCGACTATCGAGGAACATTGTGAGAGTATTATTGAATTAATGGAACGTCTAAGCGAAATTAGTATTAAATCCGGAAAAATGCGAGTATTTTAAATCAGAGGTAGTATACCTAGGTTATGTAATCTCGAAAGACGGTTTACTATCTCACAACGGTAAAATTTTAGCCGTCCAACAATTTCCCACGCCGAAAAACCCAAGGAATATTAAATAATTTATCGGCCTGTGTAGCTACTACAGACGATTCATTGACAAATTTTCTGACATCGCGCAATCTTTAAACAAACTGTTAAGAAAAGATCAGCAGTTTATATAGGAAGAAGAGCAGCACAAAGCCTTGGAACTGTAAAAACGCAAATTGTGTTTGCCACCTGTATTGTTTCTTGCGAACTTCGAAAAATCATTCATTTTAACAACAGATGCTAGTGGATACTGTGTAGGATGCGTTTTATCTCAAAAAAAGGATGAGGACGGCTTTGATAAGCCAGTAGCTTATGCACCACGAGCGTTAAATGACGCAGAAAGACGTTACAGCACTTTCGAAAAAAAAATGTTAGCAATTGTCTTCGGAATTCTTCAATTTCGACCGTACTTATATGCAAAAAAATTTACCGTCATTACTGATCATAAACCGCTAGTTGGATTAAGATTGCACAAAGATCCTAAGTCACGAGTAACTAGAATGAGCCTGAAGGTGGCAGATTTTCTATATGAAATTAAATATAAAGCAGGAGCTACCAATATAAACGCAGATATTTAGTCTCGTAACTCAATAGAATTACATATATTAGATCAGAAATTAATTCAAGAACCAATCAATATAGTAAAAGGATTAAAAGCTAATGATGATAAAGCACCGGAACTGGAAGGGATGATCACATGATCGCGCACTGGACGAAAACATAGCACTAAATAGGAAGAAGCTATAAGCGTGCTGAAACCTAGTAAACAGATAAAGATACGAGATCAAAGTGCCAGTGGGGTAACAATACAACAGAGAGGGTAAGACAAGAAGTCAGAAACCTCTGAGAACACCAATGGCAACACACCGTATATGGAACAAGTCAAGAACCAAGCAATAGATGTACAAAGCAAGGTGTGCCATTAAAAACCAATTTAGAAACTATCAAAGAAGAGGATGAATACGAATCAAACGAAACTAAGATAGACGCAACAGAAGAGATCATAAATGATGAGAACGAAATAGAAAATAAATCACCTCTAAGCAACATTATTTATTGTCGCGAAAAATTGTTCATGAGAAAAGATAATTATTTGTATTTTGTCAATGATAAAGGAGAACCTCTCGATGAAGGAGCACATCTATTAAAAGAAGTAAATAAATTACCAAGATTAGAAAATTTAAAAGTAGGATACCCTAAACTAATTAAAGTCGGAAAAAGATATCATTTTGTGATGCCGCTCAGATCCGAACAGCGAGAAAACACCGAGGATATAATTATTAAATCCTAAACTATAATAAAGCATTACTCATGAATTTAAGAAACATGATTGATGAAAACAAGATAGTCACTTTTAGCTTAGCCGAAAGTGAAAGCATACAGAACGTGTTATTCCGTAAAATTATTAACTGTATACGAGATAAACTTGGAAAACTAGATGTCAAGGTGATAGTATGCATCGGACAGGTAAAATATCCCCTACCTAACGAGAGAGCAGAGATTATAC